ACTCTATATTATTTCCCCCCTAAAGAGACTCTCTTATATATATATATATATATATATATATATATATATATGTGTATGTATTGAGTATAGTTGTTTTTCTAATCATCAAAGCGGTCACTTTCTCGGCGATATATATAGGTGGTAAATCTCAAACTTATTAAATTTAGTCATGACGTAAAACTGCTAAATCCATGATAAACTTAACTATAGGGTAAAGTTGATAAATACTAAATTTATTGAATTTGGTCATATATAAAACCGAAAATAGCAGCCATATCAAATCCAGTAGTCAAAAATCCATCATTTGACATCTTCCAACTCTATTTATTTATCTATCTATCTATCTATCTATTTTACTTGCTTATTTATTTGCTGAATCCACTTCGTTTAGTTATAAAACACCATTCCTTTTCCCCACGGTAAACTGAAACCTACCAGTAATGTTGTTGTTTCAGATGATAAAAATGTCAAACAAAACTTAAAAAGATAAAATGAAAGGGGAAAACAAATCAGAAACACCGCTAAAGATAGTACTTTGTTCAAAAATAAATAATTGTCATTCAATTAATAAAAATAAAATAAAATACTACAATAACACTCAATTATTTAGAATGAAATAACTGTGTACTTTTTCCTAAAACAATTACCTTTTGAAAAGAGTTTCGTGGTATTTTGATCAAATTTCGCTAAGCCAATCGTTAATTCTAATACAATTGTAATTCCTTGACGTTCAAATGTGCACCGCTAGAGTAGAGGTAACATCTTCCGGTGCGCTTTACAGTTACAAAGCACAACTGGCTAAAAGGAGAATTTCTGGTGAGATACCAAACAAAAATCTACCGAAACTGGTATATGCTTGCGCCTTCAAATCTTTAATAAATTTCCCAAAATCCTTTTTATTTATTTATATATATATATATATATATTTTTTTTTTTGTTGACATTCTTATACAGTCCCGAGTACCAAAGCAGTGGGGAAGAAAGTTAAGGTCAAGGGCATGGACATAGTGTTGATTCAGTCCATTAAGCCTTTCTTTCTTTCATTGGTCTGAATCAAAATATTTTGGTTCAAACTTTTATTAAAAACGTTTTCTCACAAAAAGTTTAAACAAATTTGAATTTCTATTCAAACTTATGGACCAAATAGGCTATAAAACGGGTAAAATGGAAATCCGCAAGTCAAGCAAAATAAGTACATTTTCTTCTTCAAGTGTTTGCTCAGCTCTCTCCGAAAGCATGATATCGAATCGAGATTATTAAAGATCAATTCCACATTCAGCACCGAAACAAATACTGAAAGATTCAACATATTTGGCTCCAGTAGACAAAATGATGCCTCAAATGAAACACAGCCATAAAGATGCAACAAGTGAGAATTTGACTAAATCAACAAAAGTGCAAACCGGCAAAGACTAGTATCACTAACTAGCCTGTTAGGGCAGAGTTGAGCGCACTATGCATATCGACTCCAATTTGGGCTTCGGCTTTCTCCAAGTCAGTTGTGGCCGAGCTCAACTTCTGGGTGAATTCTGCGAGCCCCTTCTGGACCTGGTTGGGATCGATTCGGTCGAGCGGAACGGCCTCCACTGCGATTATGTCGGTGAACGAATTTGCATGGATGAATGCGAAACCACTGCTGACAAAGTATTTTGTCACGTCATTTCCTTCATGAACCGACAAGACCCCAGGTTTGAGCTCCGCAATTGTCGATACATGTCCAGGAAGAACACCCATCTGGCCAGTTGTTGCTGGAATTATAACCATATCCACCTGTTGAGTGACACATAATTCATGGAAAGTGAGACATGATAGCACAAAATAATCGTAATTAACATAACTCTTCCAGTCTCCGACGTTCTCAAATCTGTCGACAAAAGGCATTCTAATTCCATATAGAAAAATTATCTGTGCTCTGCACTTGTCTCTATTTATGCATATATGACATAGAATTGCACTGGTGAATGTGTGTACAGATATTACAACCATAAAATCCCACGACATTTCAGTAATAAACTAACACTATGACCCTCAAATATGTGAACGAATGTGTATCTATACCGAATCAAAGCGGTACAGCACACAGGAGCCTGAATTCTAGACCTCCCAACTAGATGCTCAGTCACTTTATCCATAGATTGATTTTTTTTTTCCTTTTCCTTTCCTTTCCTTTCATTTTCTAAGACAATTTAACATTAGATATTTGTATGGTGCATCATTCAAATATGAAACAAAGGGTGCATTCTTTATTGTGAACATTTCAACAACATATCTGTTTCCAATGAGATGCTTAAGGTATGGTGCTTACTCTGTTGGTTCTTATGTCCATAAAATCCAAATACAATATCATTGCCACGTAGATTATAAATTCTTCCCTTTTCGTCGGTTTCTAAATATATGAAAAGTGAAGAAAACATAAAATTAACTGAAGTCACAAATGATCGAATATCTTTTACTTGTTTAAGTTATCAGGTAGTCAAAATTTTCCATTTTTCCACAACGTATTTTGTAAACAAATCAAAGCTGACAGCCATACATCAAATAGAAGAATACCCCAAAGTCTACACTTTGGAATGCTCCAGCCTCTAAACATCTAAGAGAAACAATTATTTTCAAATCAACCTGCGAGCTGTATACGCAGGCAGTAGAAGAGCAAACAGGTTCCTTTATTACTTGGTAAAATAAAGCCTAATATTTTGTAATGAAAAAGTTCAGTGCTTATTTATTGATGTCATTCAAACACTTGGTTTTGCAATTAAAATATGCAGTCACAAAGTTCAGCAGCTTTCTTTGCATATGTAGTACACACTTGGAATCATTTGCACAATGCACGAGTTAGAATCAGTTGGCAGAAATTAAGGGAATAGGTCAATTAGTTGTAAAAGATGTATTTTATCTTAAAGTAGAAACCTTCTTTTCATATAAATTAGGGAAACCAGTAAGAAAAACAAATGCTTACAAGTAAACACAAATATAGGAAGGAAGAAAATATTTCCACCAAAGCACTAAGCCAAGTCTGGCCAATGTAGCGTGGCAATGTCACATCTTGAACGAATAGAAGCTACAGCCTACAAATAGTCATGCAAAGACACAAATGCATATCTTTTTATATATCTACACGTGCTTAAAGTAAAGTTGGTTTAGAATACAAACAATTTAAAAGTATACACAATTTTCGTGGCATATTAACCCATGTATATGTAGTCAGCAAATTGGCAGTTACCAACACATTTATATGCCGCAAGTGTAGCTGTGTTAATATCAGGATCCAATTCTAAGTTGAAGTGCCATTTATAATTAGGTGGTGAACCAAGTCTTAAGGTTAAAGTTAAATAATAGGTTACAATTTCAAGCTACAGCTATCGCGTTCACCATGTTTAAAACCTGATAATCTTAGAGGTTAAAAATACCAACATAAATATTCAACTATGTATTTTAATGGTACAACAAATAGTTTTTTCAAAAGTCATTAAATGACGTTGGGGCAAAGTCTCGGACACCATGGTAGACTAAGAGTAAAATGCAAAAATAACTTCCGTTGCCAAATACATAGGTGGAGTGAAATACAAATCAAGGGGAAAAAAAAAAGATGGGGCACAGAAGATCCCACAAAAATAAAATCTAGGACAAGATAACAGAAATAGACATAGGAGTAGATGATTAAAAGGACAGTTCCTAACATGATGAGGAAACAACAGAAAAGAGATATACAAGAGGACAACATAAACACATTCGGACAATAAAATTGCATTCCATTTAGCTTACTTCCCACAAAAAGTTTCTCAGCTCTTTGAAGTTTGTGTTGATCAGAAATGAAAAATCAGAGGAAAACAAAACGTAATACAACAAGAAAATTTCACTTGATTGCTCTAAAAGGATCATTGAAAAGATTAGGAATGAATTTGGAATTTTTGGAAGATAAGGTTTTGTAAATATTTGACCTAACGTTAACTGAACATTGTACACATGTTCTCTACCAAGACTAGAAAAAGAAACAATGAACAACAAAATGACATATCCCGTTTTTTTTCTAAAACTCGGCCCTCGATGAGAAACCTAAGAAACTACTTAAAAGTCTTCCAAAATCCACGGACATTTAAATATAAAAGGTAGAACCATTTGTTGTCCTCAAACGATATTCATACTGATTTAGCTGTACTGTGTCAATGCAAATTAACTTAAAGCTGCATTTTCAGATAGAAATAAATCCCGAGCATGAAACCACAATGATCCCAATTCTATTCTTTTCACCTGATCAGTTTTCTATTACATCAAGAAATCAGAAATGAAATAAAAATGAGCAATTTAAACCATATAAACTCAATCAAATAAACCACACTATAAGAATCCACACTACCTAATCAGTAGAAAACCTACAAAAATTCGCAAATTACTTTTATCTAGTAATACAAATAAATTCAAAGCCGCATTTTCGTAAAGCAACTAACACACCACTGATGTTACAGAAAAAATTTGCAACAGAATCGAAATCCATAACTCAAAAAGGCATAAACCCTAAATCAAATAAACCAAACCCAAAACAGATCACATACATTCCTGATTAAACGACACTAAAATAAATCCAAAACAAACAGAAACCCAATTCACATCAACACAAAGAAATCCCAGAAATGGGTTTAACCACAAGAACAGAAAGAGAGCACCAAACGACACAAATTCTCAATTAAAATAAAACAAACCGGACAATTTTTTTTTTCACATTGAATGCGACTACCAAAAGAATCAGCACCAAACCCACAACACATTCACATTCACATTTAAGAGAGAGAGAGAGAGAGAGAGAGATCCGAAATCATCAGCAACCCAATTGATCTGACACGAAAAGAAATAAAACCCAGAAGAGAGAAAAGAGAGGGTTAAAAGAAAATTACCTCTTTAGCGGAAAGCTCGGAGGCATAAGGAAGGACGAAATTTACGGTGAGCTTGGAAGGGACTGAAGAGGGAATGGGAGGCCGAGGCTGCATGAAGGAGAGGGGGGTTTTGGGGGGTTCGATATTAGGGATCACCTTCTTCCACGCCTCCGCGAAGGCCGAGTCGCCGGTCTGAGCCGCCGGGACATCGGTCGAGAAGGGACGAGCCCTGCCTGAGAAGGCGGTGGCTCGGCCAAGGAGAGAGGTGGTGGCTCGGCGGAACATGGTGGGGGATGGGTTCAGGGGGTCGCTCGGCTCTCGCAAGGTCGGAGTCGGAGGAGTTAGAGAGAGAAAGAGAAAGAGAAAGAAAGAGAGAGAGGGAGAGCGAAAGAGAGAGATAGAAACACACACAAGTGAAGAGGGTTTGTATGGTTTTGGGTTGGCATCAAGTACTTCGGAAGAGTCGGGCCTAATTAATTAGTTGGTCGCCCATTTCTGCGCATAATTTTTACAAATACCTCTTAAAATAATATTATTAAGAATTTTTTGATCTTAATATTAACCTATTAAATTTTATTCTTTTAAATTAAGTAATTTAACATATTATTATTAATAATTTAACATATATCACTGACGGATCTTCAATTGCCGGTGACAGCAGACATAATTTAATAAATTATTATATAAAATTTAATAATTTATTATATATAATTTAATAATTTATTATTAAAGGAATAACTTATCACAATAAAATAGTAGAACTCCAAGATAATGTGTTTGAGGGTTGGTTTTTGTAATTTTACTTTGGGCTTTCTTAGGTATAGTCCTTTAAAGTTCAATTTTCAATTTCGGCACATCATATATATTCGAGATGAGAGTATCTCTAATTGATGTGTTACTTACAAATTTAACATTTAAAATTAAGAAACTCTTTAAATATAATATTATTTATTGTGTTAAATTTGTTATATATTATATTTTACAAAAAATTTCTTATTTAATATAACATATGAGAAATTTAACATTTAATTATTATTTGTTTATATATTTACTTTTATCATTTAATCATTATAATTTTTACATGTTTAAATTATTTTAAAATTAGAAGTTTACTTTTATATATTTTAAAACTTAATCAGTAAAAACTATCTTTAACATTTGACTACTTAAAACATGAGGAATTTTGTACTTTAGATGATGGGAAGCTTCTGGAGTTGGACTTTGAACTTTTTGAGCTACCAAATGTAAAGGAAACGGATTTTTGTTTTGATTTTTTCAGGGGTTTTTGTTCTATCTATCACCCATTTTTCAATGATTCAATTAATTAGAACTCCCCTTGCATCAAAAATTAATTTTAAAACAACCCTCCAAATGTGATCAAATAGAACCAAACGAGCATGAAAACTGTGTGTTGCTGTGTGTTGGGTATATAATGTTATATCACATAAAAAATTTGATATTATTACAAACATAATAACAAATATATACACATGTAGTATTAGAATCTAAAATATATTTATATATACATATAGAGATATATACATTATAAAACGGATTTGATATTATTACAAACATATTAACAAATATATGCACATGCAGTATTAGAATCCAAAATATACTTATATATACATGTTGGGAAAACTAATACTAACAATTGCGGAATAAAACTTTCCTTCTTTGTGTGCTAAAATATGATCTCAAACAAAATGCCAACAAAGGTAAACAATCAATGCACCAATTAATCAAAATGATCAACCACAAATGAAACACCGATTTTTAGCGTGAAAAATCTCTCAAATTGAGAGTAAAAACTACGAGACCTTTTGGCCACTTAAATTTCTTCCACTATATTAACAATGAGATTACAAAGTTTCTCTCTAGAATCAAACTAGAGGCTCCCAACAATAATATCGTTAAGAAACACTATTCTTGGTTAACCAACAATATAGACATCATCATCAAAGATGGATAATAACAATGACACCAAAGAAAAGCTTAGGTCTCACCAAATTATTATTGGGAATGGTGTCCTAGAAGCATAAGATATAATAGGATATTTATTATTTATTTAATAAAAGAGTTTATTCATCATTTTATGTGTATATATTTGTGAATATTTTATGAATATCAATGAAAATTCTGTGATTATTTATGTAATCTTAAACATTGTATATAAGTGTTATATACGAGAGGATAATGTTTAAGGATAATAATCAAAAAGTAATGTTCATAATGAATTTAATTAAAATTTAGAATATTTAATTAAAACATTATTAATACATGTCATTCCTATTTAGAATGGAACGGTGTTATCCGCACTGTTAATATTATGAGATATTAAATGAGTGTATTTCGCATAATGAGATTATGTGGAACAAGGACACAGACACAATATGAATTTCTAATAATTTCCGTTAAGTATAAAAATTCTAATTGAGTCTACTGATGGTCATATATAGAATGATCTTAATCATGAGTTCTTAACAGACTCTTATTTATGAATTTGTGTCTTTTGATTTACTCGGTACGGATTCTGAGATCCTGAATCCTATTCCTTGTATTTT